TCCTTCATCCATCACCCCCACCCCGCAACTCCCTACTCCCTGGCCCTTGTCCCCCCCATGCACGTGGTCTCCCCAGGCCCCCCGTCAGCCCCCCAGGAGCTGTGGTTCGAGGTGCAGGGCTCCACCCTCATGCTGCACTGGCGCCTGCCTCGGGAGCTGGGGGGCCGCGGGGACCTACTCTTCAACGTCGTGTGCAAGGAGTGCGGAGGGGCCGGGGGCCAGGGCCCTTGTCGCCGCTGTAGGGACGAGGTGCATTTCGACCCCCGCCAGAGGGGCCTGACTGAGAGCCGTGTGCTCGTCGGGGGGCTGCGGCCACACGTACCCTACATCCTGGAGGTGCAGGCTGTCAACGGGGTGTCAGAGCTCAGCCCCGACCCTCCCCAGGCTGCAGCCATCAATGTAAGCACCAGCCACGCAGGTGAGCCTCGGCCGCCCCTAAGCTTCCAGTCTCCTCCTTAGAACTGCCCGTGCCCCACTCCTGCTCTCCAGCCCCTGGAAACCCCACTAACATCACCCCCACGCCAGTTCCCTCCGCAGTCCCTGCCATGCACCAGGTGAGTCGTGCCTCCAACAGCATCACCGTGTCCTGGCCGCAGCCTGACCAGACCAACGGAAACATCCTGGACTATCAGCTCCGCTACTATGACCAGGTGGGGAGCAGAGGGCGGCCCTGGTGGGGCTGGTGGGAGGTTCCAGGGGCCCCACAGTGGGGCGAGAGGTGGGGGGACCAGAGGGGTGCCTCAGGGTCCTGCAGCTGGGGAGTGAGGAGTGTGGGGGGGGGGCAGGGGGGATCGGGACCCCACAGCCGGCAGGGAGTGAGTGGCTGTCACAACCCCCCAGGCAGAAGATGAATCCCACTCCTTCACCCTGACCAGCGAGACCAACACAGCCACCGTGACCAAGTTAAGCCCCGGCCACATCTATGGCTTCCAGGTGCGGGCGCGGACAGCCGCGGGCCACGGCCCCTACGGGGGCAAGGTCTACTTCCAGACGCTGCCTCAAGGTGAGGGGAGGCCTGGGTGGGGTGGGGGAGGCCCGAAGGGATGGTGAGGAGGGGCCCGGGGACCATCCAAACCTTGCACCTTCACCCCGACCTTCCAGACCAGGAGAGTGTCTGCCCCTTGATCTTGGTTCCGTGTGGGGAGGGGGTGCATGAGGGAAGGATGCTCCGGCCTGTGAGATCTTATTCACCTGTGCCCCTATGCGGCTGGTTCTCCAGGTGAGCTGTCCGCTCCGCTTCCTGAGAGGCTCTCCTTGGTGGTTGGGTCCATCCTGGGGGCGCTGGCCTTCCTCCTGCTGGCGGCCATCACTGTGCTGGCTCTCGTCTTCCAGAGGTGAGCCCCTCCCTGCTACAGCCGGGTACCACCCCCTCCACACAGCCCCAAGTCCTGACAGCCACAGAGTTCCCCTGGGAAGCCCCCACCAGCGCCCTCTACCCCCAGCAGCCCGCAGCCCCTGGGTCTGGCTGCCGCCCCAGAACCCTGGCAGGACCTTGGCCTCCGCGGGTGGACTGGGGAGGGGACGGGCGGGAGCGTGCCTGCAGGACTGTGGTTTTGGTCCCCAGGAAGCGGCGTGGAACCGGCTACATGGAGCAACTGCAGCGATACAGCAGCCCAGGTCGGGGGTGGGGCTGGGAAGTGGGGGCGGGCGAGCTGGAATCAGAACGGCCTGAGAAGGAAGGATGAAGACCCCAGAGGTGGGGCAGGAGGGGGCGGAGGGCTGGGGCAGTGAGTCCAGGGCAGCTGAGAACTGGCCAGGGGTACCCCTAGGCGGGGCCCGGCCTCCAGGGTTGCAGGCAGCTCCTTGGCACCGTCTTTGGGAGTGAGAGAGCAAGCCTGGGGTGTGTGGGCATGTGCCCTCGTCATGGACCGCCCCCCACGCCTGCAGGGCTCGGGGTGAAGTACTACATCGACCCCTCCACCTATGAGGACCCCTGCCAGGCCATCCGAGAGTTCGCCCGGGAGGTTGACCCCACGTACATCAAGATCGAGGAGGTCATTGGGGCAGGTACTGCGTGGGGGCAGAGGAGGGCATGGAAGGGGTTCCCAGGAGGGTCCCTTCTGAACAGGGTAGGACACCTCGAGTCCCTCCTGTGCACCCCGCCCCCAGCCTACACCTGCCCCCCCAGGCTCCTTCGGGGAGGTGCGCCGGGGCCGCCTGCAGCCCCGGGGACGGCGGGAGCAGGCCGTGGCCATCCAGGCCCTGTGGACCGGAGGCGCCGAGAGTTTGCAGATGGCCTTTCTCGGGCAGGCCGCCATGCTGGGCCAGTTTCAGCACCCCAACATCCTGCGGCTGGAGGGCGTGGTCACCAGGAGCCGGCCCTTCATGGTGCTGACGGAACTCATGGAGCTGGGCCCCCTGGACAGCTTCCTGAGGGTCAGTCAGGCCGGTGGTGAGGCGGTGCTGGTGGGGGGAGGCTTGGGCTGGGAAAGTGGGCAGTTCTCAGCTGTTCGGGACTCACAGCCCCATCCCTCTGCTCCCTCCTGCCGCTGCCTCTGGGGTCTTCAGCCTTCATTCTCAGGCCATTCTGATTCCATATAGCCCTTGCCCTTGGGTGCCAGTGTGTCTGTGTGATGAGTCCAGGTTCCTCCCCCCGCTTTTGCTGACCTGTCCCCCCTCCACCGCCCCCCAGCAGCGGGAGGGCCAGTTCAGCAGCCTGCAGCTGGTGGCCATGCAGCGGGGCGTGGCTGCTGCCATGCAGTACCTGTCCAGCTTCGCCTTCGTGCACCGCGCACTCTCCGCCCACAGCGTGCTGGTGAACAGCCACCTGGTATGCAAGGTGGCTCGTCTCGGCCACAGCCCTCAGGTGAGAGCCAGCCTTGGGGGCCTGGCCTCCCTGGGGGGGCGGGGTTGCTGGAGGACAAGCTGGGACCAGGGGCGGTGGATGCCTCAGGGGGCATACCTTAGAGTCTGAAGGGGCGGAGCTCACGCGTGTGATGGAGCAAACCCCAGGCGAGGGGGCACAGCGGGACATCAGGGAGGGGCTAAGGACACTGAGGAAGGAAGGGGGTCCTCCTAGAACCACCTCCTGCCCCTCTCTAGTGCTGACCAGTGTCAGAGCCCCTGGGTGCAGATCCACACACCACCCTCAAGCTCTGTGACTCTGCACATGTTTGTATTTCTCTACGTCTCAGCCTCTGTACCTGCAAAATGGAGATAATGCCGTCGGTAATACAGGGTCATCATGGAATTAAACGAGATGCTTGCTGTGAGACCCTTGATACACATCTGAGCACATAGTAGTTGATCAGTAACTAGGACCATGGCTCTGATTATTGTTATTGTTACTTTCAACCCCACCCCTCAGGGCCCAAGTTGTATGCTTCGCTGGGCGGCCCCAGAGGTCATCGCACATGGGAAACATACAACGTCTAGTGATGTCTGGAGCTTTGGGATAGTGATGTGGGAAGTGATGAGTTATGGAGAGCGGCCCTACTGGGACATGAGTGACCAGGAGGTGAGCTCATGACCCGGAACCCCTGTCCGTCCAACCCACCAGCCTCACAGACTCAAACATTCTAAGCCCTCCATCCCGGAATACATTCACATTCTAAGATCTCATGGGTCTCATTTTCCATGTTTGAGTTCCTTTCCAACCTCACACTTACCTAACGATACATTCCTTTCCACTAGCAATAGTCTCTAAGCACCATCTTCTTCCTCTAATCCCCAGGTGCTAAATGCAATAGAGCAGGAATTCCGGCTGCCCCCACCTCCAGGCTGTCCACCTGGACTGCACCTGCTTATGCTGGACACTTGGCAGAAGGATCGTACCCAGAGACCTCACTTTGACCAGCTGGTGGCCGCATTTGACAAGATGATCCGCAAGCCAGACACTCTGCAGGCTGGCGGGAGCCCCGGGGACAGGTCTGGAGCTTTGGCGTTAGAGCCCGGGAGAGCCAGGGAGGGTTGATGCAGACCCATAAAGGAGACTGAGGAGAGGGGACAAGGACGAAGAGGAGACTGACCTGCCTGCCCCTCCCTCCCAGACCCTCCCAGGCCCTGCTGAATCCCGTGGCCCTGGACTTTCCGTCTCTGGACTCCCCTCAGGCCTGGCTCTCGGCCATCGGCCTGGAGTGCTACCGGGACAACTTCTCCCAGTCTGGCCTCTGCACCTTCGGTGATGTGGCTCAGCTCAGCCTGGAGTAAGCCGGAGGGGTCGGGCAGGGGAGCCTCAGCCCAGGGCCAGGGGCGGGGCCCAGGGTCTTGAAGACACGGGCCCCAATTTTTTTTCCCTTCCGCTCCCCTCCCTAGAGACCTGCCCGCCCTGGGGGTCACCCTGGCTGGCCACCAGAAGAAGCTGTTACACCACATTCAGCTCCTGCAGCAGCACTTGAGGCCGCCGGGCCCCGTGGAGGTCTGAGGTCTGGGCAGGAAGCTACGACGTGAGGATGCCCGTAACCAAGTCCTGGATGAGGGTCCCAGGGGGGCCAAGGGAGATATGAACCCGGCTCCACGCCCGCCAGCCACACACTAAACCCAACCCTTGGGACACCTCCCTCCCCGGTCCTCCCCTGCCTTCCCCACATTAAAGGGAAAGAAGGGATTTTGCACGTCGGAGTAGTGGTGAGGCCCTGTGGTCTGCATGGAAGGGGCGGGAGACCCCACCACAGAGAAGGCTGCAGGACGAGAGGAGGAGCGAACAGGAAGTGGCTTTATTGGAAGGTGGGAGGCAGTGTCACACCCCATCCCCTCCCAGTGGTACCCATCTGCTCGGCACACCTCCCCAGACCTCTGCGGCTGTCTGCGGCTGTGACCCTGGATGGAGGCTGGTGCCCGAGGTGGCACCCCAGCCTTTTGTAAAGTGCTTTGTTCAGACAGGGCAGTAAGGCCGGGGTGGGCGAAGCTGGGTCCCTATTCGCACTGGGCCCTGTGCTTGGGGCGAGGCGTGAGCCTGCTCCTCGTTTTCCCTGTATTCTGTTCTACGCCCCCGCCCTGACCTGGCAGGTGAGAGATCTGGACTTTGGTGAGAGGCGGGAGGCGGGAGGCGCGAGGCGCGCTCAGATCTGGTACTCCCAGCCCTCCCCGTCCTCCAGAGCCTTGTTGACCACCCCCCGCAGCTCTGACTTCAGGGTCCCTTGCCGTAGCCTCTCCCAGTTGATGCTGCTGCGGGAGGTACTTCGAGACACCGAGGGGGTAGGAAGTGACAGGCAGGGTCCCAAGGGGCCACCCAGCCACAGTCTTTCCATGTCGTCCTCCAAGCCTGGGTGGCAGAAGGCCTGGGCGTAGCGCCGGACACGCTGCTGGTTGATATCCTGTTTCTCTTCCACCCTGTTGGGGGAGGGGGAGTATGGAGGAGGTGATGGAATGGCTGACCTTGGACCAGCCCTCCTGCAGGTGGTCTTTCTCCTTGTCTGCAGCCTGAGTGGGCACAGTGGATGACAGGCTTTGGGAAGCAACAGAGAGCCGGGTCCAGGGACAACATGGATGCTTTCAGGGCCCCTCCGGCTCCTGGCAGGTTCCCTTTGCCCAGTGAGACTGGAAGCCCAGGGAGTGCACAGGCCTGCCAGCCCGCCTGCCAGCCCATGCTGTCACTCACCGTAGGAACCAGCGGTCCCCCAGCCCGAACTTGTGCCCGCAGATCCCCGAGCGAGGCCACAGGCAACGCGGCAGCTTCTTCTCTAGCATCACAGTGGTGGCTACAACCTGTGGGGCGGGGGGTGGATGGCAGAAGGCGATGAAACCAGAGACAGGGTGCAGACCCCTGGGAGAGTGGAGAGGACTCCAGGCAGAGGGACCACAGTGTAGCAACAGCTGGGAAACATGGTTTCCCAGAGGGGACCACACCCCTGAGCAGAGGTTGGTGGCATCAGCTTCGTCACCCCTTTTCTGCAGGAGAGAGTGATGGGCCTTGAGCCCCACGACGCTTCACCCAGTGACCTAGCATCCAGGCCAGGCCAGTCCTGCGGGAGGTGGGGAGACCTCGCTCTGAGGATCAGGAAGGTGGGCAGAGCAAAGAGCAAGGGTCCTCAGGGCTATGGAATATTTTGACCCTGCAGATGTAAAGGCTACTTAGAAACACAAACATCCTACAGAGGAATTTCCTACCAATACATTTGCATTGAAGAAATATTTTCATGAGCAAACCCTATGTCGCCAGCTTAGGGTTTTTTTTAACTCCACTTTCTGCACAACACAGTTAAATGCCATCCAGTTGGAGGGATTTCCCATTTACATTGCTGAAATTATTTTTGTTGAGATAAATTCTTTTGTAAGTACATTTTAAAATGATGATTTGATCCAGTTAATTCGTGCTTTTGGCCCCATCACAATTATCTGACTGAAGATAGTTTCTGTGACTATAGGGAGTTTGTGTGGCATTATTTTTAACACGTCCAGTTTTTCTGGGTCAAATTTTGAAGATTTAAATATTGCCCCAAAGTTGATACTTCAGTTTTTATTTAGTAACAAAATTTCATGAATGCAGTTGTAGCTACTGTGTGTGTGTGTGTGTGCGCTAAGTCGGTTCGGTCCTGTCCTCCTCTTTGAGACCCCATGGACTATAGAGCCCTTCAGGCTCTTCTGTCCATGGGATGCTCCAGGCAAGAATAGTGGAGTGGGTTGTATTCCCTCCTCCAGGGGATCTTCCTGACCCAGAGACCCAACCCGCATCTCTTAAGTCTCCTGCATTGGCAGTCAGGTTCTTTACCACTAGCACCACCTGGGAAGCCCTCTGTAGCTACTCCTGAGCTTCATTTCTTACTGATGATTCTAGAAAAGACAGATTTTACTTTTTTGAGAAAACAGGAATTCTTTTCACCTGTTCCAGGATTTCTTGATTGTATCGCTGATCCAGTTCTGTACACTTTGCGTCAATTTTGCCTGTGCAATAACCCTCCAGATAATACTGGGGCAGGGAGGGGCGGCAGGCGGCGAAATATCCTGCTTCTGAGTTTGGCCTGGCCCTTGGCAGGAAGAGAATGACTTGCACTAACCCTCCCGGCCACCAGGTGGGGGCGCTCACCTGGGCCCTCCAGAGCTCATCCCGCTCGTGGGCTACACGCCAGTGAGTGTCGCCCATCATAGCGATGAGGAGGTTGAGCATCAGCAGCGCGGCGATGATGGCGAAGGCAGCGTAGGTGATGCTGTACATGAAGGGCAGATCCACGTCGTAGTTGGCGGGGCCGTCGATGATGGTGAGGAACAGCTCAAAGGTGCTGAAGAGCGCCATGGGGTAATTGTAGAAATGGCCCAGCTCATTGGGGTCCTCTGTCTGGAAGATGATAAAGAAGGCTGCTCTCACCCAAGGGGGTGAGAGTTCCATGTGATTAAACCATAGCCGGCTCTCTGCTGCCCACTTCAGTCCTGTCTGCTTCCTCTCCAGTGTCACCATCCCAGCCCTCCAGCGCTCCATCCTGTGGGTTCTTACGTTCCCCTGTCTTCCATATGACTCACCCTCCTGATCCCAAGAGCCAGCTCTCCGCCTTAACACATCCCATCCTCAGACACTGTGGCCTTCTCCTGCCTCTGCCCTCCCTCCTGCCCCCCTCTCCCGCTAGGTTTATCCAGAGGCATCCTATGCTTTCTGGTTTCCTCCAGCCCAGGGCCCCTAGCTCAGATGATTTACCCGAGGCAAAGCCCAGGATGACCACGGCCATCAGCCAGCAGAATCTCATCAGATCTCCAAAAATCATCTAGAGGGAAGGAAGAGAAGGGAGGCCAGCTCCACACCAGGCCTATGAACAATCTCCCCTTATAGCCTCTAAGAGGTCTAGCCCTGAGAAGTCCAACAGCTCCGCCTTCCAGCACAGGGGCTGGCCAGCTATGGTCTGCCAGCCAAATCTACTGGATCAAGTTTGGTGTGGCCCTTGAGTGAGAATTTTCCACTTTTTAGATGATTGAAAAAAAAATTAAAAGGGGGAAGAGAAGAAAATCAAAGAGATTATATACATGTTGGCTCTGCAAGCCTGGTAGGGAAGATTCCCTGGAGAGGGAAATGGCAACCCACTCCAGTGTTCTTGCCTGGGAAATCGCATGGTCAGAGGAGCCTGGCAGGCTACAGTCCATGGGGTTGCAAAGAGTCGGACATGACTTACAGACTAAACCACCACTGCAAGCCTGAGATCTCTCTGATCTGATGCTTTTCAGAAATGTTTGCAGCCCCTTTCTCTAGGACCTTTCTCTAGAAAGTCTGGGAGGAGGCACCGACCTTCTGGATCATGATGGTGAAGGGGCCCAGCATCTGGAATCCTCGCGCAAAGTACATGACGTTGCACCAGCCCAGCACCAAGGCGAAGGACATGGGTACCACCTCCCCATTGGTGTTGGTGAGCCGCATCACCATGGTCACCAGCACCATGCAGGCATAGGTGATGCTGGGGGAAGAGTGGGGAGGGGACCGTGAGAGGGCTGGGCTGATCCTGAGGATCCAAGAGTGAGGGGTTGATGGAAGTGCTACCCACAAACTCAGCTTCAAGCTCCATACAGAGGGTCACACACACATCACAGCGAGGCCTTTGGAGCTGGGCTTCTCCAGAGGCCAGGGGTCCAGGGAGTTAAACTGGAGCCTTAGTGAGGAAAGGGGTGGAGGTTGAGAGGAAAAGAGACTCACAAGAGGATGTGGAATGGTCCTCCAAGGATGGTCTGTCCGAAGAAGCGACTGAGCCCCACTCGGAAGATGTCTGTAATCTGGGGAGAGGCCGGAAAGACATGAAGCACTTGTAGACTGAAGCTCGAACTGGATCCCTGGGGCACACAGCCTCACTCCCGGATCCCCACTGCACCCACCTCTATGAACAGGATGATGACAGCCCCAAAGACGCTCACCAGCTCCCCCACCAGTCGGAGGTGGTCCTGGCGGGTCACATAGGCCTCCTGAAAGGAGAGGCGTGGTCAGAGGACTCAGGGCTTCCCCCCCATCTGCCCTGCTCACCCTTGGGTGCAAGTCCACATCCTTGTCTAGGGACACCAGTTGCTCAGATTCTTTTCAACCTGTGAGGTTTGGCTCTCTCAAACTCTGCTCTTAGAGCATCGGTATGTATCTCTGTGCATGTATTTGAGTTTGTGCCTATGTATTGAGATCTGGGCAAGGAGAGAAACGTGGGTGGTAAGCTAGGAACGTGACACACGTCTGAGAAATGGCAGAGAGCCTGGATACCCGCCACCCCCAAAGCTCTGCTGCTCCTCGGGGGTCACCTGAAGTGGCTTCTGCTGACAGAGGGTGCTGTCCCGGGGGTCAGTTTCATTGTCAGTCCTGGGCTTGAGGGGGCGGTACACACAGCACATGGTGAAGCAGATGATGTACAGCAGGTACGTGGCTGCCAGCACACAGAAGTACGGCCGCCCGTATCTCTTCCACTTGAGGGTCACCAGCTCCTTTACTGGCGTCTGGTCTAGGATCTGTCGAGCCTGCAGCAGAAAGAGAAGGCAGCAAGCAGCTCAGAGCCCCTGACTCCCCTCCCTAGCGGCTCCCTAGCCTGAGGACCAGCCCCCACCACCCACCACCCACCGTACCTCTCGCTTCTTGGAGCTGACGATAAGTTCCAGCAGGGATAGCTCCTCCCCTGAGGAGTCAATCTCCGTGAGGTCGTAGAGAGTGGAGGTCAGCGGTCCACACATCCACTGGATGTACTTCCGCTTCTGCACCAGGTTCTGGAACATCTAAAGTTAGGGATGGAAGGGGTGGGCAAGCGAGTGAGGAGGAGCAAGCCAAGGGGACTGTTCTGGGGGGTGGATGGGATGCTTGCCCAGAAGGACTGCTGCACCCCTGAAAGGAGACTTGCTCTTCACTCAAAGACTGCAGCCTTGTGGACAAAAGAACCCTTCTCCATGTCAGCCTCCTAGTTCATCCTCTTCCCCCATAACTCCCTCCAGAGCTTGGAAAGAGGAGGTGCGAGGATGCAGCGCAGGGGGACATGGGTTTTACAGACCACCCCTGGACGGGATCTAGACCCTCACAGCCCCTAATGACTCAGGGCAGAAAAAGTGGGAGAGAAAGAAGATGTGAGACAGGGGCAGAGAAGGAAATTCCAATCGAAGCTGAAAATAGGGCCTCGGCATTAGGGAGGACCATTCACATTTACTTCCTCAAAGGGCCAGGAATTGTAAGATCAAGGGTCAGGAGAAGGATCCCCGTGGGGTTGGGGGAGGGCCCCTCACCACAGTGTTGCCCTCCACTCCGGCCAGCTTGAAGGGGGTGAGGCCCTGGTGATTGAGCACGAGGTCCAGGGACTGCAGGTGGTCCCCTCGCCTGTCGTAGGACAACAGCAGGTTGTACATCTGGCAGGCAAAGGTTTTGTTGGGCTGGAGGATGAGGATGTGCAACACTGTGT